CTTGGACATGATTAACTAAACAGCACTCTAAACATTGTACAATGAGAACAAAGGAGAATATTCTTAGAAGAGGATCACAATGGCTCAATAGTTATGTGCATGTGAACATATAAAATGATGCTTATCGAAATGAACTGCAAGAAATGGAAACAAGGGTTTTTTTTTAATTGTACTGTTGGCAGTTATTCTTTTCTTTCTTGTATTCCCTTTTGTTTATTCCCTGTTGTCGCTGTTTTTTATTTGTACCCTTTGTCTTGTATATAAGTATATCTGATTGGGGAAGGGAAGTGGAATCACCGATATGGTGGGACAATTCAACAATGATACTCAATAAATATATGTTGGAACTGAAATTTCCAGTTTGGGAGGAGAGGGGTGGGAAGGGAAGTGGGAGAAAATGAGGAAGGAGATAACACTGTTCAAAAAGAAATGTACTCATTGCCTTATTTAGGTAACTGTAACCCTCCTATATATCAATTTTACAATAAAATCAAAGTTTTAATAAAAGCACAAAGAATTGAGAAGCATTTAATGTCTGTCTGTCTTGTTCCACTGACAGTACTAGGAGCATTGTGACTCAAGTTATAACAAATTTTCTGGGATTGAGCTCAATTCATTGTCTTTTTAAGTTTTCTGGTGATTTGCCTTTTTCACCTAAAATCCCGCTCACCCACCCCCACACACAAGTATTACATTATGCTTCTAAAAAAATCCTTTCTGAAATGTTCATTATAAATTACTTTAAGGCTTTTATTAAGAGTATGAAGGGAGATTTTTACATAAATCTAAGAATCTTTTCTTTGGATATTCCTTTATGTCCCCCCCAAGAGAATATTAGGTTTCTTTCTAATATTCTGCATGTTTCTTATACATTTTGTTACATGCATTTCTTTGCTTTTAAATTAGTAATCACAGTCATGTTAAAGTTGAATGAGATCTTTTGCCATTATATTTAACTCTTCATTTCAGATTACATTAATTCTTATAAATTTATTATGTAATCTGTTGCCTTGATGAAATTATTCATAGATTTTCCATTTGACTTCTTACATTTACCAGATTTTTAAAGCATAACTGAAAATGACTTTTCTATATGTCCCTTTGTAAATATTGTGACATTTATAAATCTTAAGGGTATGTTTTATTAGTAATAGTCATTTACACAGACATAATTAGTACCATTAATGATAAACTGCTCTTTTGCTTAGCTCAGGAAATTTTTCTTCATTACTTTTTTTCAATATTCTGACATTTTAAATCACATAATTTGAAGGTTGCATTTTTTCATTTTCTATTTGTTCTCACATATTTCTCTCATCTGTTTCCCCTCTACTCTGAGACTTATCATGTTTACCTACATGGGCAGTAAAGTTTTCTGTAATTTTGTTTGTTTATAACTCTTGGACTTTGCCTTTTGGTATTCCCTATTTTGCATGTTAGGTTGTTCTTTATTATCCCTCTTTTCTCAATTTACTCTTTCTTTACAGCTACTAAAACTGAAAGATTATTTCAACAATAAGAGTGTAAAAGTGCTACCCATTTTCTCATTCCATTCTTACAATTCACACTTCCTGTCCCATGTTATAGATTAGAAAATTGAAGGCCCAAATGATTAATTTGCCTAGGATTTCATTGCTGGTCAGTAAAAGAGTTGGTATTTAAAGCCAGTCTTCTGTATTTTTATCCCATAAACAACTATATCAGAATTTCATATTTTATGGCTCTCTCCTTTTCCATAAGGGAGCTCAGTTCCTTTTTAGATTCACTTTCTGTGAAGAGGTCTCTTAAATACCTGTATCCACTACAGTGCTTGCTAAAGCATGAACATCTTCTGCTCCAGTTCCTAATCTGGCTTTATTACAAGCAGCAAATGTTCACTGAACAAATATTGTATTCTCTGCAGCATCTGCTTCAATGCAAGATCCTCTACTCTCCACCCATGTTCTGTGCTTTCTCTGGGGTGACTGTACATTGATAATTAACTTTGTGTTACTGCAGCAAATCCTGAAATAACCAGTTTATAAAGATAAAAAAAGTTATTTGACTCAGTTTTGGGGATGCCAGACCATGGGTGGTTGGCCTTGTTGCTTTTGAGCCTGTGGTGAGGCATTATCATGGCAAGAACACAATGTGGAGGCACTATGGAATCGTGGAAGGGTTAGAAATCTGGATCCCAAAATTCATTTTGAAATCATTCCCAATACCTCCCACCAATCCTAATTCTAAAAGGTTATGCCACTTTCCAATAGCACCAAGCTAGGAACCAAACCTATTACATGTGTTGAAAAAAAATCTAAATCATATCAACATCCAGTGCAGAATTCCTATCCCTCCTTCATCTGCAACTGCATTGAACAAATGAAGGTTGTAGTTCTGAAGTTCAGACAAAAGCAAGGAGCTGGAGGATGTTGTAGCCTGAGTGTAGACACAGATGAATTTAGGGAGATGAATAAAGGAGAAGGCTAAGATGGGATCTTTTCTATCACCCTGAAGTTACTTTGATTCAATGAAGCACATACTGAAATGAATTTAGAAATCCTGAGTGGATTTCTGCATGGGTCTCCTCTCTCCTCTCAATTTCACATATTACTATAATTTCTTGGTTATTTTTTCCATGATTGAATAAACCCAGAACTGCTGATTTGGTGCTTGTTTGTTTAATAAACTTCTGATATCTTATAATGTTTTAGACATCAGTGCTATACTCACTTTTAAAGAACACACATGGACTTTTCCCATGTATGACTTACAAGCCACTGACAGACAAAAGTAACTTTCTATGACATAACATTTCTTAGACCCTTTCCTTTGAGGTGGGTAATTTCATAATAGGAGCCCTGTGGAGTAGTAAAATTGTCATATGACAATTTTAAGTGGCATTTTTATAAAAAGCATTATTCTAAAATGTTGTGGCATTAGAAAGATAGAATTAAGATTTGAGCTGAGTAGCTTTCCTGCCATGGTTGAGTAGGCTGTGCCAGGTCAACCTGACCTGGTAGGATTCATTGTTCTTCGAAGTTTTCTTGAGCAGAATGAAAAAGCCTTTTATAATGTGAATGTGTCGGCCTGGTGGCATACATATAATTTCTTGCTTCAATAAAGATGAGTTAAGGATATTATCAAATGATTTCTTTCTTTCTCCCACTTTTAGCAGCACCAAAATTATTATTATTTTTACTTCTATGGCCAAATCTATTATAATAGAGGGGAAAGCTAATAATGGGTCGAAAGTATTCATGTGAAAATGCAAATTATAAGCTATACTAGGTGTTAGTCCACCCCTATGAGGTTTTGTTTGTTTTTGTTTTATTGGTCATGGGGCTTGAACTCTGGGCTAGGCACTGTCCCTCAGCTCTTCAGCTCAAGGCTAGCACTCTACCACTTGAGCCACAGAGGCCATTTCTGGTTTTCCTGCCCAGGCTGGCTTTGAACCTCAATCCTCAGATCTTAGCCTCCTGAGTAGCTAGGATTATAGGTGTGAGCCACCACACCCGGCTCCCTGTGAGTTTTTTGGTGTCACTGTTTTATTTATAGTTTAGGTAAGATTAGGTGGACTCTAGGTATACCTCAGTAATGTAAGTAGATGTCATCCAACTATCTGAAAGCTTTAATAGCAGGTGTTAAAAAAAAGATTTTTGCCTAAAGATTGCAAAATGGCACATGCAGGTAATGCCAGCCCATGGAAGGCTAAATCAGGAGGATCCTAAATTCCAGTCAAGTCTTGGCTATAGAGTAAATTCCAGACCAGCTTTGGGTACATAGTATTTGTCTTAAAAACAAAGAAATAGTGCTGGTAGAAACTTGCCCTGTATTCATACCCTACTGACCTTGCCTTGTCCAATCCATGATGCTTGAGAGAATTCCTTCAAATAAACATTGTAATATATGTCTCATAATGATTATGTTTCTCTGGAGAGCAGTGACACTCCCTTATACTCCTAAGTGTTTTGTGAGGTCTTACCCACAACTCAGCTGTAAACCCATGGATGAGAACCATGTCCTATGCATCTTTGTACCCTCAAATTCCAGCAGATACCTTCTAAGACTTTAAGTACCCAATAAGTAGTTGCTGAATTAATTGACAAATAGAATAATCCCTTCAATAAACACTGACAGCCTAGGAGACAGGTTACAACTGAGGCAAGGATGACCAGTAGAGTCAGCAACTATAGAGGCCAGGCAAACTAAAACTGGGGACAGGTCGCTCAACTGCACTAGTCACAATAAATGTCAGTGTTAAGATGTCTGCGTTATACTAATATTTGCCCATTCTGTGAATGAGAGATGTATAGACAAATCAAAATTTTATAGGATAAAAATGATTCCCTTTTTGATGTGGGGAAGGAGTACTAGGGCTTAAACGGTAGTGCTCTACCATGAGCAATGCATGCCTCCAGTCTTCTCTCACTTCAGTTATGTTTCAAACAGGGTCTCACAGTTTTGCCCAGAGTCAATTCTCAGCACAATATTCCTACCCACACATCCCCATAGTAGGATTATGGGCATTAACTATCACCTCTGATGCATTTGCTGAAATAGAATCTCACTATCTTCTTTGTTTGGCCTGGCTTCAAACTTCACTCCTCCCAATTTCTGCCTCCTGAGCAGGTAGGGGTACAGGCAGTCCAGCCTGATTCCTTTATCTTTTTGAATGGAAAAGAGTCTCCTGCTTTAGGAGGCACCATTATATGCTAGCCTATGCTTTGATGACATTACCATTTTGATAATTTAAAAATCAAACTGTCATTTTGTAGGATAAACTGCAAAACAGTGAATGAAACTGAAAAATGTTAATAGCCAAAACACTTTAGTCATGACACAAAAAGCCAAAAATCAATGACACTCCCCACCACCCCCACACCAAATGCAGGAATTAATAACACGTATTTTTCACTATTCAGCAGGATTCCACATTCAAATTACAAACTGTCAATCAACTGAACAAGTCAGGTCAGTCAATCAATAACAAGAAACAGAAAGATATGTCCATCTCAAAAAGAAACGAATTTACTGGACATACTGTTGGTGATAAGATGTCTAAAAGGTTACCCTTTTACATAGCTTCCTACAGGGAACACCATTAGCAAGTAGCCATTAGGAACTGGGAAGCAGTGACGGAAGGTAGAAATGACAAAGACAGATAAGTCAAACACAAGATTTCATTTTCTATAGGCTTTATGATAGATTATCATGTTATAAAAACAAATTCAGACTCTTCTCAGTATGCTAGGTTTATAAGCTCATTAATTTAAGTAATTTAAGTTTCACCCAAGTAGGTAATTCTAAAGGTATTCTGGAAATCAAATCAATCAAGAATTATCTGTCTGAATCACAAGGTAAAGATAAGGAAGCCCTTATAGCACACATGATCAATCAGTAATGCAGAGAATATTCTAGTATTTGGGAAGTATTAGGAAAGCTAACAATTTTCTTTGGATATTGTTTATTTCTGTCCTTACACGAGATTTATGGATTTAGATGAGATTAGTTATTCATAAAAGGACTTTGTTTGTATGCTTGTTTGCTTTTTCAGTCCAAAAACTCTTGAATCAGACAGTTCTGGGCTGTCTTGTTGATTAGTGACTCATAAATAAAGTAAGTTCAGAAATCTAACAGTCTAATTTTGAATTACCACATTTTAGTCAAAGATTCAGAATTAGTCAAGTTAGAATTTCTGAGATGCAGCCCAAAGCCACATGGCCATTATGCCACTTCCTCCTTTGGAGACCCCTGGACCTGAGTGAGAGATGAGGCATGAAAATGTTGTCAGCTATGAAATAAATTTTACTGCATTGTCTCTGCTCCCTACAGAGAAACCTTGTTTTTTTTAATGTATGAAATTTACAGAATCAAATGAATGTTAATTAAAGGCAGTATTTATAATACTGAGGGAAAAAAACCCTCCTAATTACTCAGAAAGTCTGTGACAGCATTAATCATCGCAAGAGAAGGATCATTTTCCCAAGAGTCCCACTGCCGTGAATGATATTTTCATGGGCCTGAGCCACCTTCTCCAAGGGATACTGGGATCCTATTACAGGTTTCAACCAACCAGCTTTTATTCCATCTTGAAGGGCTTTTGCATAGTGCCGAAATTCTTCCTGAGGAAAGAAAAAACAAAGTACTTTTTTTTTTGTACTCGAGTAGATGACTAAATTTTTAGAAACATCAAAAAAACTTCTATATCTAAGAGTAGCACCATACAGAGACTCTTACAAATATGTGTTTTTTGCTACCTTGTACTAACTATAGAAAAAAGTCCTTATGAGAAGGGTGACCATACGCTCAGTTTGTGTGGGTCAGTGGTATTTGCAAAATTCTAACTGTCTTGAAATAACAACTACTACTATTTCCTTTCTCAAAATGTCCTGAAGCCGGGCGCTGGTGGCTCACACCTGTCATCCTAGCTACTCAGGAGGCTGAGATCTGAGGATCGCGGTTCAAAGCCAGCCCGGGCAGAAGAGACCGTGAGACTCCTATCTCCAATAAACCACTAGAAAACCGGAAGTGGCGCTGTAGCTCAAGTGGTAGAGCGCTCGCCTTGAGATGAAGAGCTGAGGGACAGCGCCCAGGCCCAGAGTTCAAGCCCCACGGCCGACCAAAAAAATAAAAATGTCCTGAACATAGATAATAAATTATTCTGTCCTTCTTACTGTCCCTTTAGTTTTTATCTGCTCCTGTAGTGAGCTAACTAACCTGAACAGCTCGTTAACTATCAGTCTGCCAGAGTAGGTAAATTGTACCAATGTTTAAGTTACCAAAATCTATATATCTACCAATTTACCTTGGTGGATGAAAAGAGAGAAACTCCAATTATACTAGACTCCTTTGCCATGATGTCCCGTGGGTTTATTTCAATAGGGCCTCTGCTGCCAACAATCTGTTATGAAAACATGTCTACAGTTAAAGATTATTTCAAAATAGTATGTAACTGTGGCAAAACTTCCAAGTGGTAAAGAAAAACACTTACTATTACTCGTCCTCCAGAAGACAGAAGTTTCAAGTCATTACTAAGATTTACATTAGCTAACATTTCAATAATCACATCAACGCCTTTTCCACCAAGAGATTTCTGTAAAATACAAAACAATGTACAAGATGAGAAATCGCAAATCTTTGAATAGCTACTATAGGACTATGTTTTATAGAAATGTGTGTCAAATGATATAAAAATGCTACATTTTTAAGACACTGCAAATTTTAAAATGATCTAATGATATAATATGATGTAATTCCAAAATAACAGCCATATAGCTAAGATGATAAAGGTTTACATATACTTGATAAACTGCCATAATGACATAAAATTTAACAGAAATTTTCAGATGCTAGACTCAGTTTGAGCATAAACTACTTTTTCCTTAGCTGAAAATTCCTAACTTCTAAATGAACTTTTACAGAGATATGAGCTATCAATTAAAGAAAATCTAAATCCCCCTGGGGATTGTCATTTTTATTTAAAAGGAGGAGGAGATATAAAGACACTGGGATCTAGTGTTGAAGGATGCCTACTCACATTCAGTTTTATTCTAAATACTTTACACTGTGCTTCATATACTAACTTTTCTTTTGGGCACTCTAATATTGTTTCCCCATATTCAAAACTGTCTCTTATAAAAGCTAACATATATCTATATTTCATTATTTTACTTTACAAAATCAGATAAACAAAAATGCCTATGCCAGACATTATCATAGAGTGCAAAGAATGGAAATATCGCTGGGTGCTGGTGGCTCACGCCTATAATCCTAGCTACTCAGGAGGCTGATGAGATCTGAGGATCGTGGTTCAAAGCCAGTCTGGGAAGGAAAGTCTGTGAGACTCTTATCTCCAACAAACCACTAGAAAACCAGAAGTGGTGCTGTGGCTCAAGCAGTAGAGCACTCGCCTTGAGCTGAAGAGCTGAGGAACAGCACCCAGGCCCAGAGTTTAAGCCCTATGACCAACAACAACGACAAAAAAAGAATGGAAATATCAGCCTCAAAACAAAGGTAGGAGTTAAGACAGAGAACATCATACTCTTAACTCTAACTCTAATACATAGATTATGTGCTATGGTAGCAGAAATAAGTCAGAGGCTATACAAGAAACCATTTAAAGTTGGATTGCCTTCAGTGGGTAGAGAAGGTGTCACAGAGTCAAAGACATGGGCCTTGAGAGAAAAAAAGGAGTTTCCTCAGCAAAATAGAAGTAGACAAGAAGGGGAAGGTAGATATGGTAAACAGTAAGTCCCAATACAAGAATCAAAAGGAAACTCACAAGAAAAGCTGGGATATGTATGGGCAAGGATAAGCAGTAGAGAGAAGTGTGTTAACTTTCTGCTACTTTAACAAAAACACATAAATCACCTCTTTATAAGAGAAAAAGGTTATTTGAGCTCACAGTTGTGGAGATTTCACTGCACAGTCAGTAGCCCCCATTGCTATAGCAAGGCAGTAGGTATATCATGGGAAGGTGTGCATGTTGGTTCATGCTGCTCATCTCATGAAGGCTAGGAAGCAATGAGAACGCAAGAGGATGTCCAAAGTCCCAACATCACGTTCAAGTGCATACTCCATATAACCGAAGCCTTTTAATTCAGTTCTACCTCATAAAGGTTCCATTACCTCCCAATCACAGCATCATGGGCTAGGAGCCCAAGCCTTGGACACATGGCCCAGCAGAAATGCTTATCCAAACTATAGGGGACTGTAAATTGGAAAAGGCCATGAAAACACATTGAATGTCATGTTAAGGAACTTAAACTTTTTCAAGCTCACTAATGCGTCAGAGCCTGATTGAGGTACTGTAAGTGCAGACCCAAACAAAAGAATCAAAATTTCCTCTCTTCATAGAGCTTCTATTTGAGTTACTCCTAGATACTTTTAAAGAGAGACTAATAACTCTAGGGGTAGAGATGACAAAGAAAAGATTAGCTTAGTTGTGAATAGTAGACAATCCTGGAAAAGCTGAGATCTAAACTAAGCAATAGAATGGAAGAGAAAATGAAAGGTCTATCAGAAATGAAACTGATGGAATGAAATGACAACTTGTTGAGTAGGAAAGAGATGGGTGTGATGGTGCATGTCTAACAGTTGCTACTAAGGAGGAATAGATTAGCAGGATGGTGTTCAAGGTCAGCCAAACTTAGCAATTTCCCACCCTAAATAACAAGCCGAGTTTGGTAGTTTCAACGGTATTCCCAGCTCTTTAGAGGCACAGGTATGAGGACTGTAGTCCAAAAGTGGCCCGGGGCAAGAATGTAAAACACTACCTGAAAAATAAAGACAGAAAAGGACTGGCGGAGGGGTTGTCTCAAGTAGTAGAGCACCTGCTTAAGAAATGTGAGGTCCTGAGTTCAAATCCCATCACTACCTCTCCAAATGAAAAAGTTAATTTTTTAAAAGGTAGGTATGTAAATGAGAGGCTGTCTTGGGTGAACAGATGAATGGCAATGTCTAGCAGGCTCAAGGCATGAAAGAATGGAACTTGGGCCAAAGATAGCTTAGAAAATCGATAGCATATGTGCAATGCTTGAAGCACTAGAGGGAATAGAAACAATTGTGATATAAGTCCAGTATGTGGAAGACAAGAAGAAGGGGGAAAAGCTCAGAAAATGTTAATACGTACGTCAGATGACAAGGAAGGGGACTACAAGTACAGTCAGTGAAGTGAGAAAAGCAGCAGCTTCAGGAAGAAAAGTTTAGAGAGGTATTCTCATGGAGAAGAAAGCAGGATAAAGACAGAGACAAGACAGAAAGGAGGAAGGGAGGAGCTCCTTGCTGACCCCCGAGAAGCTGAGTAGTTGGAATGTAAGCCAAACTGTAATGAGGAATAAGAGGATAAAAAAGCAGTAAGTACTCCTTTTTTTAAAGTGTGGTGGTAAAGGGGAAAAAAAAAGGAATGGGAGGATAAGTTAGAAGAATGATGCTCTTTGAGATGGGAGAAGTAGCGACCTGAACAGAAGAAATCAGTAGACAAGATAAAATTCATAAGGCCTCATGTCTTAAAGTCAGATTGCTGCTAAGTAACAGAAATATATTCATAAAATAACCAAGGCTTTACTCCTATTTGTAAATATTCTTAGAGAAAAAATATCAGGGTTAAGAGCTAGATTCTAGCTTGTCTGGACACATTAGTGTTTTTGTAAGGTGATTTTGTGGCAACAAACTCTTCCTTACAGTTTTCTTTAGTTTGTAATGACTTAGTCCATACAATACTCAGTACCTAAGAAATGCTAACTCTTCTCAACATGAGGAAGTGGTTTGAGGATTACTATTTAGTAAACTGCGAGCAAAATAAAATAGGAGAACTTCAGAATCTGTTTGTATCAGGGTTTGCTCAGTGGTAAAGCATTGCCTAGCATGCTCTTGGTCCTGAGTTTCATACTCAGAGCTGCAAAATAATGAATGACTCTGAACTCTGCATTTGCAACAAAACCTCACTAAATGCTATCATCACACTGAACTGTTTTTCCTTAAAAACTTCATTCCCTTGCTAGACAGATTTAGTTTGAGGTGGCATCTCAGTCTCTATGGATAACTTGGATCAGGAGTTATAAATACTAGGTTGTGCTATACCTAAAATGTAATTTGAATTAAACAGCACCAATTTAGAGAGATTTCATTTTATTTTATACACATGCATAATATAAAAATGGTACTGTAGATCTGTTTTTTTAAGTCAATTAAAACTATAAAACACATAACAGATATAAAAATACATACAGGAATACCAAACAAGCAAATAACCTTGAGAGAGTAGCTGGCAAAAGGATTTATAAAACAACAAGTGAGGCTCTAATAATATTTCACTTTTAAAAATTATACACAATTTTACCTGGATTTTATCAATATAATGAAGTTCTCTGTGATTAAACACCTCATGGGCTCCATTTTCCAAGACAATGTTTTGTCCCTCCTCAGTACCAGCTGTGCCCAAAACCGTTAAGCCATAAGCTCTAGCAATTTGGCATGTTGCTAATCCAACCTGCAAAATAAAATATAAACCACTAGTTATATACATTCTCCATAGCTTGCAAATATTTATTACATATACAGAGCAATTTTCAGATTCTTAAGAAACTTAGGGTATAAACGAATAAGTAGGGAAAATAACTTTTATTGTATAATAATAAGACTTCCCACACATTGCTTATTTTGACTTCACAATAATCCTATGGCTTATATATTATGTCCCCTTCCATTCTACAGATAGAGTTAAGCTTTAAAATATAGTGCCTTGCTTAAAATATAGTACCTTGCTTAAGTCATACGCAGATAGAGAATCAGGAGCCAGAGCAAATCAGACTACAGGACCTGAGTTTTTTTGTTTGTTGGTTTATTTGTTGGCTATATTCAGGATTAAACTCAGGACTTCCCAAGAAGACATAGTTTACCATTTGAACTATACCTTTAGCCAGAACTTGAGTTTTAACCACTGCACAAAAATGGTTGCTTAGCATCTGCTTTGTGTAAAAGGTGTAAGCGTTATACAACCTGAACAGGCTCATTAACTTTATGGTTCCACAAATTGAATACTTCATACTCAAAAACAAAGACCTCTACTACTTAAATAAAGACACAGGTACATGTTTGAGATAATGAAATTATCCATATGCTGCATTTTTTCAAATGACTGGTATGTGCTAGGCATGGTATTTAATTCAAGAAGATTACATTCAAAGTAGAGGGTTAGACAGTCAATGCATATACTAACAAATGTATAAAATAAATTCCAAAAATAGTGTCAGGAAAAAGACCAAACTGGCTGTTGGCTTAAAACAAGATTGAAAGAGCCACAGCTTATGTCATCAGGGATGGCCACTATGAAGAAACAAAACCTGAGAAAGTGAGCAGCAGCCAAAATAACACCGGGCAGCCATCTGGGGGCTGACGAGGTGCATGACCATGGCTAACTGGTCAACTGAGAATGTGCTGAGGGTGTTCAAAGGGCAGAAGAGGGTTAGCATGGACCAGGGATGGATGCTGTTAAGAATGATGATGAGTCTAGAGAGGTTGAGTGACACAGGAGTTTGGCAGTGATCAATGGCCTATAAAGTGACTATCACAGGATCATTGGATAGCTTTAAGCAAGGGAGTATATGATCAATTTAGTCATCACTAAAGATCACTCAAAGCATACCCAATGAAGACCATGGGAAAATGAAATCCATCAAATAAGTCTAGATAAGACATGAAGCTTGGACTAAGCTAGTTGATAGTGGAAATAATAAATTCAGGTACAGTTGAGGTAAACTGAGATGACTTCCTCATATAGTGAAGTGAAAGGTGGAGAGAAAAGCCACTCTAGGGTTGTTGGTCAGTCTGATTAGTCGCACTAACTCAGAGTATTAGCTTACTAAAAGCACGAAGAATCTACTTAGAATTGGCTATGCTGAGTTGCACAACACTCACCAAAGTGATGTTCTATAATCAGATGGATAAGGATAGTTGGAGATATAAGTTTGAGATTCATCATGTTCTAGGTATTTAAAGCCACAGAATCAGGTGGAATTGCTAGAATATTCCACAAATGTGCTTAGTACAAAAGAGAAGGAAAGCTGGGTGGTGAATATTTATAAAGCCAGAATTTAGAAGATAGAAGGAGGATAGTGAGTTTGAGGCCAGCCAAGGCTACATAGATGCTGTAAAAATAAAAAGGAGGGCAGTTAATTTAAGAAAATAGAATATAGGTAAAACACAATTATTTAAGTAGCAGTACTTGGAGATGTGTTTGATTATATGTCAAATTAGTAACATTTTGAGAGAGCTCTTTTAACATTTTTGGGCCAGGAAACTGTGCTGTGGAGAACTATCCTGAACTATTTTGGTTTCTGTTCACTTGATGCCAGACTCCTCTTCCTTCGGATATTGACAAACGTCCTTATGGAGAAAAAGAGAAGACGTGAAACCATCCACACCTTATTGATAACTACTGATGTAGTAGGATGGGATGGGGCAAACAGAAAATAATTAAGTTTAAAAAATGATGAGAGAAACTCCTGAAATGGCAGCCATCACAGACTCCCAGGCCTGAAATAGACATTAGAAATTATGAGGCCCATGGAATTTGATGAGCCCGACCTGAGTTCTAAATATGGCAGAGATTTGTCAGATCCAGCAGAAACAAAGAAACAGATAATAAATGGAATGGAGCCTCGGATAAAGGAACAAAAACAACCATTTCAGTGAGATACAAAACATTATGGAGTCAGCACAACCAACTCTGGCTACTCTTCCAATAAAAAATACAGGTCTCTTTTTAAACCAAAGATTCAATGCAAATACATTTCTGTGTGCTCAGGTTTACAAAGAGTTGCTCAATAGCTTTTGAAAAGGTACTATTTATTCTGTTGTTGTCAACAATAAAACTAGGGATGTTCTTTCAATAGATGATGTACCAGTTTGTGTAAATTGTTTTTCTGCTTCTTACTTTACTAACAGTAACACAGGGCACTCCCTATCAACACGCTGAAACTATAGCTGTGTTCCTAAGTCCACAGCATTTTAAATGTAAGACATAATCCCACAGGAATTTGAATTAAATGAGGACAGAGAGCACGAACAGATGCAAGGCAAAAAAGCTCAGCACTGTTTCCCTCTGATAGGGCAAGGGGGATCAGAAGCGCTTCACTCACCAGTCGCCAGCCTATCCCTGCCAGCCAGGGATTTAACAAACTCAGCCAGCTCTGAGAACACTGAGGATTTTAACTTTAAAAGCAGAAAAACAATCATGGTGAAGCAACTGGCTACAAGAGGGCAAAGGAAATAAAAAGATTTTCTTTAAATTCTTCTCTCTTTGTCTGACCAAAATATTTCTCTTATATATAGAACACATGCTAGCTTTCAGAAAGCAAGACAAGTTAAATAAATACACGTTTCTTGACAGACCTTCAGTGATTTAGGGTTAAATTTAACTTAACCCCAAAATAACCTCTTCTATGAAAGCTCAACAATGGAAGATTTTTGACAGGGTTGATCTTTCATATTTTCTCAAGCCCCATTGGGACCATCTTGGTGCTTTAGTAAATAGTCTGGCTCAGTGAAATCCTTCAGAATTGATCTCCGTGAGGTATACAGGAAGATATGAAATCTCATGATTCAAAACAAGAAGACAAAATGACCTGAGTTTTTTCAATAATTCGGCCATTTTTAAGGGTAGATGCATAGTATCAGTATACCACTGTCCTCAGCCTGGGCATAAAATGGTATACAATAAGTCATCTCGTTACATCTCCTCCCAAGAATACACAGTACTTTTAAAGGGGATAACAGCTTGCTTAAGGTGAGCCATCTCATCCTAAGCCTTTTATTTATTTTTATTTAAAGCAAAAAATCTCAGCCCCAAAATTTCTGAAGCTTCTACATGCAGGATAGAGGTCATGTGCATTTCTTGTTAAATTCCATCCTCTGAGCTCTTAACTTTTTCTCTAAGCTCCTCAAAGGCAGTTTGGCAGCTGGTTCTTGAAGAGGTTTCTGACAGCCCTGTGCTGGGTGATTTCCATGAAGGGCTTATTTGATAAGTTCTGAGTCCTCTCCCTGCACATTAGCATTTTGAGCTATGGGTTGCGGTGTTAAGGATACAGCTGTACACTGTGCACTCTGCGAATGTCATCAAAGCTCAGCAGGCACACAGTGGAGGGAAGATAGAAGGGACTGAGAACTCACAGTGTGGCTGTGTGGTGCTATCTGGGACAAGTCAGGTAAAGCTTTAATGAGCCTTATTTCCTTATCTAAGAGAATACGGAATTGATATTAACCTTTAGAGCTGTTTAAAATTCTAAACAAATGTTCTGATAGCATATGTTATTGGAAGGCAAACATAAGGCCAGTGTATCTTGGTGTCCACACCCAATCTAGATGGAAAACTCTACTACATACATTTTTGATGTGATGCTCTGTTGATTTATTAACTAAGAAATGCTCCAGTAATGACAAAGGAACAATCTTTGAGAAGATATAATTTTTTTATAAAACCTTCACTATATAAAAGGAAAAAAGACCCCATGATTATACCTTTAAAAAGATTATAATGTGAAAACAGTAAGTCCATGCTCAGCTTATATAAATATCACTCTAAAAAAGATGACTTACTCCTCCACTTGCCCCATGAACCAGAACACTTTCTCCAGCTTTCCCATGGGCACTGCAAAAGAAGGGAGAGATTCCATCATTTCATGCTTCGGAGCTAGTTAGGGTCAGGTGTTTTGTTATCTCTAAGGAATTTCTAACTTTAATCTAGCTAACACTTATCCAAAGAGCAAATATATCCTGTCACATAGCCCAAAGTATTCGCTGAACTCCACAGGGTCAAATGATCCATCTTCAGAGCCACAGGTCAAAGGAAATGTGGGTTCATTTTTTTTAAATTGGGGGTTGCTGAGTGCCAGAATTAGAAGCACGATGCTGAATCAGATAGGCTGAAATTCTTGTGAGTAAAGGTGGAACTGTTAAGTCAAAAGGGGTTTGAGTTGCTCTTTCCTACATATGTCCACAGAAGGCGTTTTCAGGCAGATTTATTATAGCTCGGTCTTTATTGTGTAGGCCAGAGTAATGGACAGGTAAGCACAGCAACTGGACTGATTGTGGCCAGGGGCAATAAGATGTTTTTGCTTTCTATACCTGTGAACATCAGATGGCACTGGCATGTAAGCTCTCATTTCAAGAAGCTTAGCTCAGTCAGCAAAGTAGAGACAACAAACTCTGTCACAGAGCTTCCTTAAATGTCCAGATCATGATCCTCTTGATCTCTGCCTCCCAAGCAGGTGAGCTTACAGGCATGAGATATCACCCTCAGTTGCCCCAATGAATATTTTAGAAAATCTTTCAGGCAGTCCCTTGAGCACTAAGGACATATTTCCATAAATACCCAGAAATGAAAGAGAAAAAAGGGTGGCAAATCCTGCCTTGTGTTCTCAGTTAGGACAGTTTTTCTCCATAGTTGGGGTGACAGCTAATGCTATCTATACAACATGATGAGGCATCTCATACTTGTTCCAGCATCATTCTATATGTTTCTGTGAAGATGGTTTTGGATGAGATTAGCAATTAAAGTGATAGCTTTTGATTAAAGGTATTACAGTGAGTGTGTGGAGCCTCTTCCAATCAGGCAAAGGTCTGCACAGGACAAAGACTGACCTCCCTAAGCAACTCTGCATAAACTGAAGATCTTCCTGAGTCTCCAGCCCTCTGGTTTATCCCATCCATTTTTAGACTTGCCAAAGCTCCACAATTTTCATGTAACATCCCTGTCAATTCTGTCTCTGGGAAATGCTAACACATTCATATTCCCCTGATGCTCATGGCACAGGCTTGAACACCTGCCAGTGCATGCCACTTGACCCATGATGTCTCCTAGTGCTTGAAGATGAATACAAAGTCTTCTCTTCTATAATTCCATCCCTATTGTAGATTTCAATATTCATCAAGAAGAAAGTTTACTATCACAATCCCAGACTTCTCCACTTCTAAGGTAACACCAGCAATCATTTCAGCTGAGAAATATAATCCCTGCTGAGAGCTCTTCTTCAGGTTTTCAAAGAGCTTGCTGACTGTCCATGTCTACCTCTGCCCATCATTTCCTTCCCTCCTCGGCCAGCACCCCATGAAAGAGCATCCAGTGTCTCTCTCTACAGTACCTTCATTTTCTTTGCACTATTACACTTTTACACCAATACTCCAGCCCTGGACTAATGTTCAAACCACGCTTCTTTGTAACTTATCTAAATGCCTAAGTTCTATAAAAGAAAATCCCATTATCCATACATTTTGGCTTTCTTTAGTTCTAATTCTCCAATGACTACTTTGTCTCTACTTAATTAGGAAAAGTGAAGCAATCACATATAGTTCTATCAACACTGCACTGCCCTCTCTACCCTACATTTCCATACTTATACTATCTTTACACTTATAGGTTTTAGGGATCAGCTATCTTTCCATTAGTTGACATGAATAGAGTCAATCTCTCTACCTATGTACTATGTCTTTTCTATTTTGGTTTACATAGGACCTTCTTCCATCAGGCATTCTATCCCCTATCCCTCTACTAGATGCTTTCTCGGCTAGAAACATGTTCAAGTCTGATTAAAGTCACCAAAGACTATTATTCATTATTTATTTGTGGTGGTACTGGGTTTTAAAATTTAGGGCTTTCCAGTTCCTGTATGTACTCTGTCAAATGACCCTTGCTCCTAAGCCCTTTTTATTTCAGCTGTTTTTCAGTTAGGCTCTCTCAATTTTGATTAAGGCATCCCTCAGAGCTCTCCGATCACTGGTGTGCACCACCATGTCAAGCTTATTAAGACAAGATTTCGCTAAACCTTTTGACCAGGGTCTAGTTGTTCCTAAATTGTGATTAGATTTGCTAAACTATGATTCCTCTGATCTTTTCTCTCAAGTATTTGGGATAGTAAAAATAAGCCACCATTCCTAGCCCTGATGACCTATTAATTGCTAAGTCTGACTGCTGGTTTCTCTGTACAGATCGCATTGCTATATTGCCACACTTCTATATTAGCCAAGCTAGAAAGCTTCAAGTACCCTTAAGCACCATTCCCCTCTCACTCTTGACCTACAAACGATTACTAAATGCTCATGATTTTTCTATACTAAAGTTGTCTCTCCTCTTCACTTCATATCCTTTTCTCTGGCCTGTAAGATTTGTCCAAGGGAGACTGCTATGGGATTTCCATTCCTGTCCTAAATTACAACCTTCTCACAGCATATAGATAATATCAATAAGTCTCAAATATATGGGTAGAAAACACTTCCTGACCTCCAATCCCTTACAGAACAATGTTCTATTGTCTAGCTTTCTACAATCTGAAACCTACCCTATTAGATTATGATAACTAATATTTATTAAGACCATGCTCCAACTTTATTCTTTGCTGTTCTTTGACTTGAAAATTTCAATACAACAAAAACAATTGCTATACCTCTCCCGAGATAGCATGCTGTTTTCTCCACATGCCACACTATTCCTATTATTAAGAATGTTCTAGTCCCTCCCAAGCGCTCTTTCTCAAGCAAGTTCTTTCTGATTCTCTTTAAATGCCTAGGGGATTTGATGAAAACATAGATTCTCTAGTCCCAGTGGTGCTAAGGGCATAGGGCTCTCTACTATATTTTCAAACTTCTGCCTAGAAGATTCTAATGTACAATAGGGTATTTGAATTAAGCCTTAAAAATAATCCAAGTCTTACCTTTCTCCAGGAAACAGCATCTCATCAACACAGGCATATCCCTTATGATTCTATAAACCCTTATACACATCAGTGCATTTCACCACTGAAGATTCTACATTATCTATAAATATTATTACTCGGATTTATCTCCCTCACTAGTCTGGAGGCATCATCAAGAGGATATTGGTTCTGCTCTGTATCCCTAGTGGTCAGCAAAACCTCACAAATTAGCAGTTTCTGCTCCATAAATATTTAATGATAAATAAGAAATAGCTCAAAATGACAGACAGAGGCATGGATGGGTGGCAGGAAGGAAGGCAGTTAGCACTGCCCACCTCTGAGGCTGGCTCTAAAGTTTACTGAGTGTGTCATTACCTGTGAAGCAAAGCTCGGTAAGCAGTGAAGTATGGGATACCTATGGCGGCTCCTTGTTTGAAGTCCAGATCCTCTGGGAGCGTGTGAACAGTGTGATCATCGGCGAGAGCATACTCGGCGTAGCCCCCGGAGACGGTGCGGGTGCTGAAAACTCTGTCACCTTTCTGGGGAAGAGATCAAATAATAAAGGTTTCAGGGCTGTAAAGTCATGGCCAAATGGGTATACTTCCTTATGAAGTATCCTTTATGACAAGAAATAAGTATTTATAAACTGATTTCTAAAACACTGGATCTCATAAAAATAAGTTTGAACTTTTAAAAATAAAATTAGTGAAAAGAAAAATTAATCCAGGTGCCAGTAGCTCATGCCTACAATCCTAATTACTAACAAGATCTGAGGATCTTGGTTCAAAGCCAGCCCTGGCAGGAAAGCCTATGAGACTCAACAAACTATTCAACAAACAAACAAACAAAAAGCCAGAATCGGAGCTCAAGTGGTAGAGCACTTGCCTTGAGCAAAAGAAGCTCAAAGACATCATGCAGGCCCTCAGTTTAAGCCCCAGGACCAGCACAAAAAACAAAAAAAGAAAAAATTAAGAAAATGGGAAAACAGAGAGCCTCTTGAGTGGTATGATGATAATGGTAATGATGATGATGATCATGATGATAACTTGCCTCTACTGAGAGCTAGGCTCTGCATTCAGTGTCCTATGTGGTCATCACAACAGGCTATGTAAGGCAAGTATTCTTTTTTAATTATCTCAACTCTCCAATAAGGCTGTTGGAAGTACAAATAAGTTTCATAGTATCCTCAAATCAAGTTGGTAGGAAATGGCGTTCTTATAAACCTTTACATTTTGTGTACGATACTAAGGAAAGAAACAAAGTACAGTTTCTTCCACAAATAAAACACAGGTTCTAAATCCCTTTCATGGATTTCTCACTCTTGTATTCGCATTATTTTTCATGCATACACCCCACGAAGTGTGGAACCAACAACAAAAAGTATGGATTCCAACAACAGGATGAGCCAGGACTCACTTCTTCACTCATAGGAACTAGTCACAGGGAGTCGCTGGGCCTTCACTATTGTAAAACACCTGGATGGCATTATATGAGCAATGTTATCTGTATGCTAGGTGAAATTAGAATGCCACTGTAATTATCTATCCTAAATTTTCTTCCTTGGAAGAACAAATACATGTTCTTTAGAACAGCAAAGACTGTCCAGTATATATTATACCATCTTATCATTTTAAAAAATGAGAAAAGGTATTCTACAGTGGGAGAAATACAAAGAAAGATTCAAAGGGCATCTCAGAATTTACAAGCATCTTCATCCAACAGTATTTCAGGAAATGGTCAAAAAGGACTATGTTCCAATAAATCTCACTTTTACATCTTAAGACACATGCGAGGCAAGCACTCTATCACTGAGCCATCTTCACAGCCCAAGACACATTCTGAATTAGTTTCATTGTAACTCATTACTAAAACCTTATTGCATGGAAAGCATTGTTTGAGTTCTAAAAAAGTGATTTAGTACCAAGACATTGTCCCTAATCCTAAGCACCCTAAACTGTGAGAGGAAAGAAAAAAAGAGGAAGTTATTTCTATCTATTGTAAAAGCAAGGCAAGCACAGAGAATCATCAAGGGCAGGTACAAAAAAATAAAGGAATTATTTCTGAAGTGAGGAAATTACATAGAAGCAAATATTTGACACAGGTCTTAAAAGACAGAAGAAGATTTTGAAAACTAAAACTGAGATGTCAATTATAGGTGAAGAAAACAGTTACCAAAGGAATAGAAGCAAGAATAAAGAGTTTATGAGCATTTATTCACAATGAAAAAGTTAGTAGTCTATAGTATGTATGCAATAGTTTCAGGAGATAAAATGGAAAGCAATGAAAGCTGGAGTATGATATACCTCAAATCCACGCTTATTAGATTAACATTAATTCTACCAAGCAAAAGAACCAATATGAACAAACACATAGACATGAGAGCCTATGGGATATGCAGAGAAGAACAGTCCATTCCCTACTAAAGACTGAACTACAAAAGAGGCGGAGTGGGAGCTGAGAGTGAAAAAACAAGCAGGAGAGAGCATAAGACAACCTTATCCCATAAGGAGTGCATCAGCAATACCTGACATCTGCAAGCAACAGACTCAAGAATCAAAATGGAAGTATGAAATAATCAGAATTCCATTCTAGAAAAATGATTCTTTTCCTAGAATAAGGAAAGATTTCAGGGGCAAAAAGAAAGGGGAGCACAAGTTAAGTGTCCAAGAGAGAGAGATAGATAAGTGGGTAAAATAACCTGAACTTAGCTACAGGCGGCGGGCATGCAACAAGAAAACACTGGATACAGTCAGGGAGAGCTGAGTGAGGGACACCCAAGTGAGTGAGCCTCAAGCCACAGGAATCAACCACAGAATGGATCATCAGTGACAACTGACTGGCTCGGTTTCAGATAAGTTGAGTAAAGTCTCCTGCAGGCTAACCCCATGCAGTCAGTACTCTTCAGCAGAACTTTCTGCACCTAAGGAAACATTCTACATTTGTACTGTCCAGCTGGATAGGGGCGATGCCTGGGCCATGTGAACACATCACATGTTGGATGGCCTAGAAACTTGGATTTTTAATGTGAATTTAAGGTAGTTTGACAATCATTTTAATTGCCACAATGAGTCTATGACTAATAATATTTTGGACAGCACTGTCCTAGAAAACGCTTAAAAGACAGAACACTCAGTCGTGAAAACAAAGAGGGTGCAAAAATCATCACATAATAGGTACTGAAAACAAAAAGCCCAAGGTTTCAAAAGGGACCAAGAGTCCTGGATAGCATCATGATTTGAAGGACCTCCAGGAAAAGAAGGCTAAGACAGGATGCCCAGAGAGGAAAGGGAGAGGCAGACAGCGGAAAATGCCACTGAAACTATAGAAAAAGGTTTGTTTTCTTGTTTAAGAAAAAAAAAACTTAAGTGGCTGAAAGTGTCAAATGTTACTGAGAAGTCAAGAAAGATAATGACATAAAAGGGCCCATTAACTCCAGCAATATAGAGGCCATTAGTGACATTAGCAAGAATCATTTCAGTGGGGCTCTGGGGGCAGAAGCCAGACCGACACAATCTGAGAAGTGAAAAGCTGTATGACTCTGCCCTCTTCTTCCTCTTCCTGTACAGGGGCACTGTAAGCTTCTCCATCTCGAGCCTAATTTTGGTAAATGTGCTGCCAGAGTTGAGCAGGTTAAGAAACTAAGGAAAGATACTAGAAGATGAGCACACTAGGCATATACTATCCATGTTGTTTATACCTTTTGGCATGACAAAACAAGAAGCAAACAAAAGCCCTGATCATAACACTTTCACTGATCTCGGTCTGTTCATGGGTCTGAAACTATACAATGACCTTTCATGTTTACTTGTCTTAGTTCATCTTCAAAAGAGTTAACTATCCCTTTATGTTATAAAACTAACTTTACAAAAGGAATTAAAAAGCATCTTGGCTTGTATACTACAGAGAGTTAGGATATAATATTTATTTGTTTTATTTATTTACACATTTCTATTAAATCAACAGGATAACAGTTCATTCTGTGGAGCTGTGAAGATATAAAAATTATTCAGCATTCATTTTATATAATTCCAAAAAATAAAGTCTCTGGATAAGAAGTAATTTCTTTTCTGACTAGAGGAGTCCCCCAAGTGGCAGAAATTATATAATGGAGCCTATGAATGCCTCAAAAATAAACTAAAATATTTTAAGATGACATTAAAGCAAAATAGAAATAATTAAACATGTAATACCTTGAAAGTAGATACATGATCTCCTACAGATTCTATTAGCCCGGCCACATCGCTGCCAGGGGTATAGGGTAAGGCCGGTTTCCTACTGTAAGTACCGGAGCGAATGTAGGTTTCCACTGGATTCACCCCACACGCATAGACTTTGATCAGAACCTGCAACAACAATGTATTTCAGTTCTAACAGCACATGTAGACATTGTCTTAGGATTATGCAATAACTGCAGATTATGAAAATAGATAAAAATAAAAACAAATAAGCTCTTATCTTCCAGGAGCTCACATTCAATTCTGCAAAACAATGTACAAATAAAAAGGTAAGAGTCTTGGCTTACATACTATATTTAAAACAGTTTTGGAAAACAATACCATAAATATTTTAAGGAAGAGATCTCTATGTATTTATAGGCCTATTTACTTCTCTTCCTTGGTACATGAAAAGAACAGTAATTCCTGGCCCCCTTCATCGTTATGAATAGTCAAGGCACTGGGTTCTAACCAATGAAATGGAGTCCTTGCAGTGACAACAAAAGAGTCATTTGCAGACCTGACCCAGACAATCCACACTGTGCTTTTGCACTTTCATGGAGAACTAGAGAGTCCACTGCCAAAGGCAGTAGAGCTGTAGGATGAAAAAAGCCGTAAGTCATTGTTAAAACCCACCAACACTTTATAAGTTGGAAAATAATTTTCTATTGTTGAACCCCTTAGATTTTGAGATTACATCTCCTAGGGGAGCTAATTTTCCCAATTTTCCCTTAATGTAGAATGATTATCTTTCTTATAAAGAAACCCCTTTACACATTTTTTGAGGGTTTTTCTTAAGAGTAAAAGAAGGTCTTCAGAGAAAGTAGTATTTGAGGTAGACCTTAAAAGGTGAATAGGAATGGGAGAGAATGAGGATGCATACTGTCAAAATGCTTTATATGAACATATGAAAATAGAACAATTAAACTTGGTTTAAAAGTAGAGAGAGGGCATGAGGGAGAGAGATAGAGAGGGCAAGTTTGATGGGATTCATTGTTATATGTATATGGAATGAAATTCCCTTTTGTATAGCTAATATATGCTAATAAAAATCTTTTTAAAAAGAACATTTCAGGTAAAAGAAAAATTGTGCACAATGTCAGAAGGAATAAGAAAGTCTTAGGAATACGGGATATGGTTCTAATATTGTTACAACACAGTCCACTGAGAAAATGATAAGAAATAAACCTTTAAAGATAGGTTATAGCCAAATTGTAAAGATTTGCTAAGAAATTAGACTTGAGAGCGGTAGTGAGTGCAGTTATGAAAATAAATACTTTTGAGTGAAAAAAGTTCTATAACCAGTAGTGGTGATTAAATTCTACAATTAAAATTCTCTTCAATCATATGTGAGAGAACGTGAATGTGGAAGGAAATTCTCTTCCCAGTACGTAGCAAAAAAAATTATGGAAGTTTATAATAGAAAAATGTCAGAACTACTTAGGACTTTATTCATAGCTATTTAATTACATTACATAGTTGATTCTAAACTTCAAAATCTCTCTTATACTCAAAAATCATTCCTTTTCATACATATTTCACTATTATTTGCATTAATTTTGCCTTATAGACAAACAGTGTGAAACTCTGCCCTAATTCAATGTCTTTATAAACCATTTTGAGTTTGCTTCCTTTGAACACTAACTTGGTGTGGTAGGGTCTCACGTTCAGAGTAATCATTGCCTGAGTAGAGTAATTATTTCCACCTGACGGTCTTTTGGAACTGGTATAACGACATCCGACTGCAGTTTCAGCACTTCTGGTCCACCAAATTCATGAACCCGAATAGCCTTCATCAACTTTTGTCCAGTTGCCATGGTGATCTAGAGTCTAAGAAAAAAATAATATATTATCATATTGTATCAAGGCTATCACTATGTTCTCCCCCCCTTTCTTCTGAAAGGGGCAGATCAAACGATTTTTCAAATAACAATTTAAATCATGAGCTTACCACTGATCTCATTTCATGTTTAAGGACCTTTCATCTTACAAATCCTTAAGCTACAAAGCAAAATAATTCATTCTGTTTCCTGTGGGGACTCAGTGCCTTCAATAAGAGAATCAAACATGCAAACAAAAACATCTGGACAGACATAGCATGATACCACATCTTATAGATGGATTTTGTGTGTGTGTGTGTGTGTGTGTGTGTGTGTGTGTGCGCGCGCGCGCACGCGCATGCACGCTTGGTTTTCAACATCTTAGAAATTTCAGGAGCCAGTATTAAATTTATGAATATAGATAAATAGATCTCTTTGTTAAAATGTGGAATTGTAAACAGTGAAAGATAATAAACACACCTGTAACTAGCTCTAATAAATGTTAACATTTTAATCACCTAAAACATTATAGATGTAATTGTACCCATCTCCAAACCTATTTCTGGACTACTCTTTTGAAGAGGTGATTACTATAAAGTCAGTGCTAATCATTCTTTAGCATGGTATACCACTACTACATGTGTTTACACTAGTAAAACAATATTGTTTTTGTTTTTTTAACTCAGGGCCTCCAGTTTGCTCAGCGTTGATTGCTCAGCTGGCACTGTACCACTAGATCCAAATTGCCAAACCAGATTTGCGTTCCTTATTTTTTTTTATTGTGAAAATACCATACAGAGGGTTTACAATTACATGGGCAAGATAGTGAGTACATTTCTTATCAAGCATTACACAACAATGCATTCGTTATTTTGGAGATAAAGTCTCAAGGACCTTTCTGCCCATACTGCTTCAAACCACAACCCTCCTGACAACTTTTTAAGTAGCTAGGATTATAGGCATGCACACTGGCAATTGGCTAATATGTATTACTATTTTACAATTCTTCTAAACTTTAGATTGTGCTATACTTAACTCTGCAGTTTACATTGTCCTTTCAGTGTCACGTTTTTGAGAATTATTGTTTTGAAACACTTGGATTTATGTTGTTAATAAAAGGGAGAAAATATTGGATACAACCTTTGCAATTTGTATACAACCTTTGATTCTTTTATAAATTGCTAGAGCTCAACCAACTTTGTCTTACCACTGTTAATAATAAATTGAAAAGAAAACTCATAGTTAAAGATAAATAATAAGTTGAAAAGAAAACTCATAGTTAAAGATAAATACAGTGCAGTAATTGTATTCAATGTATACTACATAAAAACTGTAGTATGTAACTTGTGGGTTGGAGGGAGGGGGAAATGGGGGATGCGAAGGAAGGGGTGACACTACAAAAGCAGTATATTCATAACCTGGGTTATGGAATTGTAACCCCTCTATACAACTACTTAATAATAACAATAAATAAATAAGAAAAGGTGAAAGATATTTAGTCTATAAAATCATATAACTTTGGAAATTCTCCTATATTGGTAGAAATATATGAAAGGGTTTTGCTTATATTTCCATAATTTTAATTGTAGATTATCATAATTTCCTAACCCAAATCCAATATTGCTAAATCCTGCCATCACCTAGAACATTTTTGCTAACTTCTGAACTAATCATGTCCCTCAAATAAAAGTAGTTTAAAAATCTGAGAGTTAGACTAGGACCTGTGATGAAAGAATTCAGACTTTGTACCAGAGCTCAGCACATGATTCCTCAGAATACAGCCAATACTGGTTACAAAATGTCATTCCATGTGTGTAGGGGGAGGGGAGGGGGAGTGGGGAGGAGGGTGGGGATCAAAAGCATTTAACTGGTGTTATTAATGAGGAGTTCTTGATACAATCAAAATCTGTATCATTTTAAAATCCTCTGGTTGAGTGATTTAAACCAGTGCCTAACACAAAGAAGAAAGTGAAATTTCCAAAGGTTCATTAGCAGTAATGTACCCTGACAAAACAGTCCTCCAAAGAGCAGCTCAGCTGCAGGAAGACATAAGCTAAATACACAGTAGAGCAAGGCAGCCAGGAGGCAAGGAGGCAGTCCTGAAAGCAGAAAGACATGTCAGACACAGGCCAGCACAAGTTTGGCCAATCTTACTAGACATTTCACTACTGCGTATTAAAGTCATCACTCAAACTGGGATTTTCTTAGACAAAAAGTGAATGGTGTCACAAAAGTATGTCGGCTATAGACATACTAAGTGTTCTGGGTTTGAATCCAGGCTCTATCATCTACTAGCCACTGGCCTCCAGCAAGGCAATCAACTTTTTGAGCCTTTCCTTTTTGTACAGACTAATAATACAATTATTAGTCATTATATATAATTAATGTAGTATTAGAAGGACAATTAATAAAACCAAAATTAGCCTGAAATAGGACCTGCATCTTGTACGTTACGTATTTATTTCTCTTACATTTTGGCACTGATTAAAGTGAGAGAAAGGAGCAATGAAAGAATAAGACTTAATATTGAGTTTAGGAATCCACCTGCCTTGCCCAGCATACCACACTGTCTTACAGTGCTTGTAAGGAGATAGAGCATGACCTTGACAGCACTAATTTCTACCCTGCTTCTCTTGATCTTTTTTCCCATTGAGCCTTTGCCATTCTGATTGATCAGGCTCCAGTCAGTGCTCATTGCCTTTGAACTCAACTTCAGCAGCAGCATCTGTTTCATAATACTGGCCCTCTATCAAAGAGAATCATAAAAAAAAGAATAAAACAACATGACACACCAACAGTAATTATGATAATTCTCAAAGACCAACAATATCTTTTATTTAAAAAGTGTCAGTAATTAAATCACTTTCTATTGATTTAATTATTTTCTCGAGTAGAAATTGATACTAATTAAGACTGTTTCTTCATGGAGAAGTAAAAATAAAATCGCCATTCATTTCATGAATGAGAAAACATCAGAAGTTTAGAGACTTGAAGCAGAGCTAGAATGCAAGTCCTACGCCTTAAATGTTTTTAGTTGATTTTTTTTTCTTTCCTTACTATGTGATCCTTTAAATCTCACCCTTTGAAATGTTAGCAGAGATCACCATTAATTACCTAGAAAAAAAATACCATATTATTTTATTTTTCTCATAGCCATACTGGTGTTTAAATTTAGTGTTTCAAGCGTTCTCGGCTGGCTTTCTACAACTTTCAACAAAACTCTTGCTTTACAAATTTTAGAAGGACAATAATATGATATAAATAAGATCACATACCTTATGTTTAAGGCATCTACTTAAGAATTCAAAAATTTTTAATGTATGTAACTCAGGAACTCCAGTAGAAACACAAAAGATGTGTTATAATTATAATTTTTAATTATAATTTTCTTATCTATAAAAGAGATTCTTGTGAAGGTGAATTGCAACACCCACAGATGTTCACGGCACATCTGACAGGCAGCATACCTAAACATAAAGTTAAGGTTAAATCCTTTGTGTTCCCAAAATGAACAGGGCTGACCTGGTTCGATAGTGCTTAAAAAAAAACAAATTGTGGTTCAAACAAGCCTTTTAATTAATTAATTAATTAATCTACTAATCTATTTATTTGAAAATCATTTGGAGAACTTTGTTTTAATTTTTTGATTTTCCTATTTACCACTAAAAAGTTGCCAATTCTACTGATAAGTTTAAAATTCTTCTAACAGTAATTTTCTTTTTTCCAGGCTATGTTAAATGAAACATCTAAGAAAGATGATAGAAGTATACTTTAATATAGAATTAATTCACAAAGCCAGAAACATGGCACATTTATGAGGTAAGTAAAATCAAGAAATTATTAGGAAAAATGTTTTTAATGTAAACTTGGAAAGATATGCTGCTTTTAACCAAGAATGATGTATGGACCTTGGCTTATTTTGATAGCTATTCCATTTTTTATTGTCTGACCATACTGGGGTCAGGACTCTGAAGTTGCTAGAGAGGCACTGGATCCATATAGACCTATTTTTCATGACCCAGAAATGTATTTAATTTTTTTCTCTTATTTTTTTGGTCGGTCGTGGGTCTTGAACTCTGGGCTTGGGGGCTGTCCCTATGGTCTTCATTCAAGGCAAGTGCTCTACCTCTTGAGCCACAGGGTCACTTCCGGTTTTCTAGTGGATTATTGGCGATGAGAGTCTGACGGACTTTCCTGCCCGGTCTGGATTTGAAGCGAGATCCTCAGATCTCAGTCTCCTGTGTTGCTAGGATTACAGGTGTGAGCCACCAGCTCATGGATAAACTTTTCTTTTATGCTGGCCTGGGGCCTGAATTCACAGTTTTAAACTCTTGCTTGGTTGTTTTGTTCCAGACTGGCACTCTACCACTTGAGCCACACTTCCATTTCCATACATATATTAAAAACAAAATTAATGTGGCTAGAGAAAATTCTCTGCTTGTTAATGTGGATATGAAGACCCATTTGATAAGGGGAGTAGTTCGATAACTCTGAACCCCTAAGCGTCTGAGGGGTTAAATTTGGATTGATTGAGGGGCAGGGTGCTCTCCAGCGTTGGGAGAGTTTAGCTGATGGTTTTACTAGAGCAATGAGCAGACACAAGTGCAGGAGGCTTGTTGACTCACTGCCATTCACAGTAGAAAAGGACAAGCATTCCAAAAAGTAACCTTCACAGGGTTCAATCGCTAATGCATGGTCCCTGAGCCACACTGAACTCTAAGAAGTCAGCAGACACAACCAAGGATCAACAGTGTTTTTGCCGTTTTTTAAATTTTTCTTTCGAAAATTATTCTAGGTGAAGGGCACTGGGTCGATAAAGATATACACATTTCTCTCCCAAAGGAGCCTGCTACCTTTGCTTGCAGGCTGGAGGCTGCAGGAGGAAAGGGAGCTGGGGAGACCTAGGGTTGTAGGAACCTGGAGGAATGCTTTCCAGCAGTTTGGCCCTGGGCCCGGTGTTGTGCTGTGAGAGCCTAAGCACAGATCCCACTGGAGCCCACAGATCCCACTGGAGCCCAGGGCTGGGAGGTCAGGAAGACACCCCAGGTGACTTGCTGCTAGGCCCTTGCAGCCCAGGAGAAGCTTGGCAGAATGGCCTCTCCTCCTTTGCACTGGGGAAAGTGTGTCTCTGTGTGTGTCTGTCTGTGTGTCTGTATGTGTGTGTGTCTGTGTGTGTGTCTGTGTGTGTGTGTGTCTGTGTGTGTCTGTCTGTGTGTGTCAGTGTGTCTGTGTGTCTGTCTGCGTGTCTGTCGCGGGGAAGGGGAGCAAAATGGGAGAGAAGTGCACCAAAAAAAAAAAAAAAATCCACAGACTCCACTGGAAACAGCCAGGGGGGAACTACGCAACTAAGGGGACATCTTCTATTTTTCTAAACCACTTACCTGTCTCTAGAGTGGGGACCGGAACCTGCTCGGCCCTCCCGGATTGCAGGGCCGCAGCGGGCTGGCCGTTGCCAGCTTTCACAGGCTCCACCCACCTCGCGACTCCGCCTCCTCGAGGTCGCGGAGCGACGAGGAAGTACGGACCTCCGCGGCCACCGTCCGTCCCAATATGGCCGCGCCCGGGAGCCGGCTGGACAGCCGCGATGGCCCCGCGGGCCGCGGTCTGACCCGCGCGTCCGTGGACCCCAGCGCCGAGTTCGGGCGGTGGAAGGCGCAGCGTCTGAACCGAGCCGACCTGAGCCGCAAAGGAAGCGTGGACGAGGACGTGGTGGAGCTCGTGCGGCTCCTCAACTCTCGGGAGCAGTTTGTCACCACCAGCTCCTGCGCCGGCCGCGTCCTGCTCCTGGACGGGGTGAGGCCTCGCGTTGCCCCTCCGCCGCCGCGCCCTCGCCTGGGG